AAGCAACTCACTTTTTTTGTACATTTCTTTGCCGTTGTTTTGCACGACTACAACGTGAAACTTCCAGAAACTTCTTAGTTACACGTTGCCGCACGTGTTCTCGTTCTTTTTCTTTTTTCAGTGTCTCTCATTTTCATCTTGCATTTGTGGCCGTTAGCATTTCTCATTTTCTTATCTCACCGCCGCTACAAAATTTTCATGTTGTTCTTCCAACAAAAAAATGTCTTGTTTTTTATCTCTCGCTCTAGATCTCTGTCGCCATTCTTCTTGGTTGAGCTTCGCTGGCCTGCCGCCTACTTTCTCTAGCCCTATATTCCAAATTTGTGGACATGACAAGTAATCTAAGCGTAATACTTTAGACAACACGCATACAGAAACAATTTCCTCTTTCCGTTTTCGTCTTTATTGACTCTTTAGTTGTCTCTGCTTGACAAAGTGCGGGTGGCTATGCGATTTCCCGCCAAAATAACCTTGAGTTGCATTTGGGTTGCCATAACTGTTGATTGAGTTATTTTACATTGGTATGACTGTTATTGTTACATTGGACGTACGGTCACGTGATTGCCAAAATTTCTCGGACGGGTAGATTACCACATTTTCTTACCCATGGTGCTCCGCTTCACATTTTGTATCCAGCTCTTATCTTTACCCAAAATAACTGCTTTCCATGACTAAAAAGATCGTCTTATTGCAATATGCTGAACAAACAGAGCCTTCCTCGTTTATTAATTGCATGTCTACGCCCTGTGGCACTTTGTTTTTTGCGAATGGGCGTTTTTTGTATTATATTTTACAAGAACTAATTTTTGCGATGAGTTGAACCTGGTTTTTCTTGTTCTTTTTCTCAACGTTTTGTAAATTCAAGATGTGTATAAAATTAAAAGGTCTTAAAAGGCTTCTTTTTTTACAAATTTTCATAAAAAACTGGTATAGAATGAAAGTTAGATTGCTAGTTGGTTTCTTCTAAAACAAAACGACTACTTGTCCTCGTTTTCTAAAAGTCAAGTTGTCACAGAAAAACTCGAACAAGATAGTGGCGCACTTCCCGAAGGAATGCAAACCCTGCAGGCGTCTCGTCAGTATAATTCGCGAGTGTGAGCTACGATTGATGCTTTCAGAGCGTATGACAATTTACATGATCCTTGCTATATCTAGCGAGTTTAAACTTACCATCGATGCATATTTGAGATTCGAGGAATTAAATGAACTTTGGAGGGCGCCAAAACGTGAATGGTTGATAAAAAAAGTAACATCTGTAACAGTAACATCTGTAAACCTGAAGAAGGCTGGTATATATGGCCAGCCGAAATATTGTTATGACAAACAATACCCGTTGTTCTGAATCAGCTTTGCAGTAGTCTTTGGTCTTCTCGTTCTTGATAAAAGCTACATGAGTTAAGAAGTGGGCCGCAGTTTGCAGCCAGGCGAACTCATAACGCCGCTATATTAACACGAGCATGACCTGTTACTCGAAGGTCCTCTTAACTTTTCGATCCGCTGGATTTTATTGCAGTATAGGTTTTATGGATATCAGCAAAAGTTATAAAATTTTTAAAATACCGAAAAAAAAATCAGCAAAATAGACACCTTCAATAGCAAATTAAAACATTACCTCTAGTTTGGAGAGACTTCCCCAGGGGTCCAGAGGCCCGTTTCTCGAAAGTCCCGGTAACTTTTCGGGCCCGAAATCAAATATTCAAACCGAAATATAAAGAATATTAGCGCCTGTCCTGGCTTGCAAACTACTGCATTTTGTTTCATCAACTGATTGTTTTATTATGTTAGATGCAAAACTATTGAAACCTCAATCTTTAATATAAACGGAGACAGCTTACCGGGCCCGTTAATTATGGGGACTTTCGACTTTCTTTTTCGTGCTCTTGGTCGGATGTTTCTTTGTTTCGGTTTTTGCTAATTTTTCCCGCCTTTATTGACCAAACGAACGCCCTGCATCAAGTTTTCCTGTTGATAGTGTGCATAACGGAGGTAAAAATTTCGCGCGTCTTTTTTGAAAGTGGTGAATAGTTTTTGACTGTAAGTACCCACAAATGGCTGTAAGTACCGACAAATGGTTACATAGTAAATATCTACACTCTGATAAACTTGTTGGGATAACTAATAAAGCAACATCTTGAATTTCGTTATTTTATGCGTATGTATATGTCTCGTATTAAATTTCGCGATTTTTCCCAAATCGCGAAAATAGCGAAATATAATTCTCGCGAGATTAAAAAGGTAGTGTATGGCAAACATTGGCTACTTCGAACTCTCAATGCTTTTAAGAAAATCGTTTTCTTCTTATCCTTTTGATTAACATGTCAAACAGTGAAGCAAACCTTGTCCGATAACAGCAATTACACGATCTTGTGCTAAGCACAAGCCAATCAGAATTAGTCCGGCCAGTTGATTTGTCTGCGCGTATGCGTCTGTGTTAAAAAAGAGTCCGCGCAGTTAAGAGGCAGCGTGCAAGCAAGCGGGAAAAAAAAAAAAAAGTGTATCGAACTAACTACTAACTGGTTTAACTACGAATAGAAGAATAGTTGTCATTTTGTTGTTGTGTGGATTTTATGGGCCGCGTGTTGATTCTGACCTTTTGCATACAGCTGACAGTTCTTAACCCCATTACGATGCAATTAAAGTCGGATGAGCATTATTTAGAAAGGAAAAACACATTGTACGATCTGCTGGTCTTGTTGCTATAATTAACTTTTTAAAACCAGCATTGAAGTCTGAAAACACATCATGGGCAGCAATTTCTCTTTTAACCCGGAAAAATTCGGACTAAACGAAAGGCATTGCCCTGCTCAAAACCTCTGCCTGTCGAAGGAAAAGGTAATTATAATTTCAGTTATAAGCATTCATCTCATCTCGACTGTCGCCGCCGTCTTCGGTAGCTAACTTGTGACTAGAGCGTTTCACAAATTTCATAGTCTTCGAACGGCTTCTAACGTTATTCTGGTAAGTTTGTCCACCGCGGACGGTTTACTGGCGATTCCTTTGACTTTCGGCCTCGTGCAAATGAGTCTTAGACTGTTAAACGGCTCTGATGCTGAGTATAGCTCCGGTCCTCTTGGAAAAATAACTTTCATCTCCAGCTTTTTTCGTCGTTTACTCGAAAATCCCGCTGAAATTCATTTCGGTTTTTATGAACTAAATTTTAAGGTAAAGGAAGCTTTTGGGCAGTGATAATGAGCGTTCTATTCAGTACAATGTTTAAGTAAGAGAAAGATGAACTACAAAAATTTTCCAAGAACTTAAGACTGCAAGCAGTTTTTCAAAAAGAAGTGATGTTATTTACAAAAGAAGTGATGGTCGATCTAAGTTGATGTAGCTCTTATCCATATCAGCAAATACAGTGTGCCGAACACATAGTTAACACAAAATCTAATTATCGATTATCTTGCTTTTCCTAGAAAAGAAAAAATCTTAAATGAAAACGAATACCAAAAACTGTAAGGAAAAAAACGGTACTGATACACCTCCCCAGGATACAGTAAACAAAAATTATCTGCGGTAAACAAGCGAGGCACAAAATAGATACCAGTTCTCGACCGAGAAAAACTATCACATGAGATCTAGGTCAAATGAGCCAACCAGCCAGTCCAAGATTTCCTCCAAACCGTGAAATCATATGGCATCCAGAACGATACCTACCCGAATCCCGCGGGAAAAGAATTAAACACGACTCTAATAGTATGCGGTTTCCTAATTCCTCAAAGCGGAAATAAACACTTTTCCAGTTACGGTTTAAGGTAAGGCAAATTTTCAACATTTTTTTTGAGCTCAAAATCTATCAGCAGTAAGTTTAGGTCATGTAATATGCATATCTAGTCTTTTTTTAAAATTATACCATCGAATTCAAGAAATAATCTGCACTAAAGTTGCTCGATTTACCGGAAGTTGAAAGAGAAATTTTAACTTCCGTTTCTATGGAACGTGACTGCGGGGGCCAGCGGAAGAGAAATTTGACTCTCGTGCCTTTCCCGCGTGCTTCCATCCCAGAACAAAGATGGCTGCCGGTTCTGTCAACTGCGAGGCTGCTTTCCTCAATTTTAATGCCGAATTCGAGCGAAACGGGTAGGTATTTTCTCTTTTTATTTTGAGTTTTTTTGAAAGTAATATTTTTCAGAAGGCCCTTTAGCGTTTCCTTTGATTATTTGTTTAGATTTGGGAAAACACCCGACGGTCTCGCAAATCTCCTTCGTACGGCAGCGAGAAAGCCTGGAGAAACGGCCGAAAGGATGCGGCATCGCATCTACTCTAGGCTATACGGAATTATGTGGGTAAGTGACTTGAGTATACCAGTAATTTAATTTTAAGTTCTCGATAGTAACAAAATGTCCCAAACGTTTCTCTATCTTTACGTGGTGGTTGCACAGCATATCCTCGTGGGAAATTATCGCATTCTCATCCATTGTACTAAGCTAAATAAGTGCTTCGCGTTGTACTTAGTTGTATCTCTCGAGCAAATGCAAATCTTTCGCTTATATATTGAAAACATTTTTGTTGATGTTGTTGTCTTAGATGTATTTTTCATTTCGTTCTTCAGCATGGATGTAAAATTGGCCGAGGTCAGTTTACTGGGGGTCAACCCACTTTTGTCTTCCCAGAATGTTTGAAGAAAGTGGTGCGCGCCATCATACAAGAGGATGTCCGCGACTACGAGGATCCAGTTGGTCCCCATGTAAGTTAATGCTTCTGATTTTATATGGTATCAATGACTATGAAAAGGCAAGACCAATCCCTCGATATTCATTTTGCTTATGAGCTCATTCAATGTTCCCATGGGTTGACTGCTGTTCAATCAAGAGAAACATTTTCCCTCTAAACCTTCAGACGCTGAAAATTTGAGAAAACGTATGTTACAAGGCTGTGGCTGTAATATGTTTGATTGTTGATGACTTCTGTGTGTTTTTTAGGTATATCGCGTCACATTGCAAGACCTGGTAGACACAAAGTGGCCAGCAGTAAAAAAGGAAAAAAAGAATAGGAAGAATTAATTTTTATAATCTGTATTGTTTAGACTGTGCGAATTAAAGAAGTATTTTATCATAAAGCCATCGTGTGTTGCTGTTATCCTATGCTTCTTTCAAAGGAACATTTGAAATCAAGGCCTATGCACACACATTTTCTGCCACCAGAGCATTTTTGTTGTGTTTGAAAATAATAATAACGATTTTGTTATGGCTGCAAAGCTACTGAAATTTTGTGGCTTGCTTTTACCCTTGTTTACCGGTAATTTTTTTTTGTTTCAACCTCATAAATCATAGTGACCTTACCATGCCCAAGGACAAAGTAAAAGAACATAACAACAAATAATATATTTGAAACACAACAAATACATCTTTATGATTACATTAGCTTGTGGAAGTCATACTTATACTGTGTACTACAGTAATTGGAACTAAAGACTGTCTTATGCAGACCCTGAGCATAAGTCAGAAAATTTCAATGTCCAAATTTCTTAATATTATAGCCAAGCACTCTTCAACTCTGTTTCATCTCTAATGTCATTTTTTTTTAAATTCTTGAAATGGTGAGATTTATGTCTGTCCCTCCCCGCCCCTGAAAAATTGATCTCTTTGACAGTGGGTGCAAAAACAGCTTGCGACTATGACTATCAAAGTTAATTTGATGATTGTGTCTTATCGAGAACAAAACTCTTCTCAGAAAACCAAATTAGTACACTAAGTGCTAATCCAAGTAAATACATCATGTGAAATAATACTATTTACAGAAAAATATTTTACCATTGATGATTGGCTGAAATCACCTGGCTAACTCTTCATAACCAGCAAACTTGGAAAGATGTATTGTAACCGAAGTCACGCGTATTAGTGTCCAACCGCTTTATTTTATAAATCACACTCCTACGGTACTGTACAACCAAAAATACAAAGAATACGAAATTACGAAAACTGTAGAAATCAGTACAAAATAACAAATACATCAAAGAAAACGGAAAAGCGTACAAATGGCGTATGACTAAAATTCACCTTTACGGTTTCTTGACTTAACGTTAAAAGGAATGAGCTGTTCTTGACCGATAAAAACTGTAAAAACACTGACCGACAAGACTAAGTTTATACCAAAAAACTTGACAGATTACGTAACATTACGCAACGATGGTGACACCAAAAAAGAAAGTAAACAATATAACAAAAGAAAACTATAAACAATTACAACTAATTGCAAGTAGACGCGAACAAAAAAGACAAAGAAAACCCTAAGTTCTAGAAGTTTCGCTTTAACACACCGGCCTCGAAAGGCAGACGGGCATTCAAGCCTTGCCTTTCTTAAGAAAACTAAGCGAAACTAGTAAACGAAACTTATTTAGAATATTCAAAAACCTTATCTACGATTAACATGTTAATTACTTTACACAGTTCGCAACGTATTTATAAGCTAAGTGATCACTGCAATCAGGGAACTTCCTTTCCAGCAACTGGCTCCTTTTTGTCCAAAACCTCGAAGAGGTCTGTCTGTCCTTACAAGTTACATTGTGTCAACAGCTGGGATTAATTATCGGCAGCTTCCAACAGCAAGCATATCTTTCTAATATCTCGCTTCAAAATTCCTCTGGCGGTTCTAACTGTAGCTTGTCGCACTGCACCATGGCGATCTGGTGTAACTTGTTCAACAATACCCATTGGCCACTGTCCACGCGGACTGTGCTCATCAGCTATGAGAACCAAATCTCCAACAGCTACATTCCGGCGCGGGCGAATCCACTTCTGCCTTTCTTGAAGAGATAACAAGTATTCATCTACCCATCTTCTCCAAAAGATGTTACTCAGGTATTGCGCTTGTCTCCAGCATTTTTCGTACTTGTCTGTGGACGCAGTGGAGAAGTTACCAGGGGCAACACATGCATTACGGTGAGACAACAAAAGATGATTCGGCGTTAATGGTTCCAAGTCATTAATCTTGTGAGTGGGCGGTCGTTCAGGATTTTCTCTACCTCGGCCATAACAGTGAGAAGGGTCTCGTCATTGACTATTTGGTTTCCCAGGAGAGCGCGCAGTATCTTGCGAACAGAGCGAATCATTCTCTCCCAGACCCTCCTTAGTGACTTGCTTGTGGGGGTTGAAGTACCATTGAATACTGCGCTTGCGTAAACTCTCTGTGATGCGTGATTGATTCCACATTTTAAGAGCTGTCTTCAACTCACATTCTGCTCCTTTAAAGTTGGTACCATTATCGCTGTAAACTTCTGTTGGTGCACCGCGCCTACTGACAAATCTTGCAAACGCCATCAGAAACGAGTCAGTCGTCAAATCTTGAGAGACCTCAATATGCGCTGCTCGCATTGTTAGGCAGGTGAAAATGCACCCATATCGTTTAACTCGACTTCTCTTCAACTTGACTGGCATTGGTCCGAAGTAGTCAATTCCAACTGCGGTGAACGGTGCATCTCCTGGCGTGACGCGAGCCATAGGTAGCGGAGCCATAATCTGTGCTTCCGGCTTTGAGTTCCATCTTCTACACTTGATGCACTTGCTGACCACTCGTCTGACGGCTGAACCACCTTTCAAAATCCAAAATTTCCTTCTAATTGCAGCAAGAACTTGACTTGATCCTACATGGCCTATCTGATGATAATGGCGAATAATCATGTCAGTTACGTGATGCTTGGTTGGTAGAACTATTGGATGCTTCATGAAACAAGCGATAGCCTCTGCATTATTAAGACGACCACCAACATCTGATTAACCCATTAACAGCTATTGGATTGAGTTTGCGCAGTGGGCCGACGTACGAACCGTCACTAAGGCGTTTCCCCGACACTCTAGAGATACTACGGCGTTGCTGAGCTTCAGTCATCAGTGCATTCAACTCCCTCGGAAAGAACAGCCTTTGCATGTACTTAATGACCTCCACTTCAGCGTTTTGGATTTCGCGGACGGATAATTCTCCTCTTTTGACGTCTTCTTTTGCAATCTTCCCTGTGCGATACAGCAAGTAATTCTTGAAGCGGCTCAGCCAAGCTAGAGCCTTTTTCAAACCATACCACGAAGAGTAGTGATAAACCAACGAGTCAAACCCTTGATCTTGCATAACAGCATGCGTCTGTACTTTCTTCGATCTTTTGACGTTCTGGTCATTTTCATCAATCTCAGGAAGCTGGGTTGGCTGATTTGGCCACTGGCTTTCGTCCTTCAACAAAAATCTTGGTCCCTCGAGCCAAATCTTCAGTTTGGTACGTTCATGAGAATTAAACCCACGAGACGGGTAATCTGCTGGGTTCAGATCAGAGCTAACATGACGCCACCGAGACGGGGTAGAGATATCGTGGATCGTTGCCAGCCGGTTGGAGACGAGTGTCTGGAATCTTGTGTGACTGTTGCTGATATACTGCAAGACAATAGTAGAGTCAGTCCAAAACGTCACTTCATGTATAGGCAAAGTGAGTTCTTCCTTGATCTGCTTGTGAAGCTTTACAGCGACTGTGGCAGCCGTTAACTCCAGTCGTGGTACTGTCAGAGTCTTCAGTGGAGCAACTCTTGCCTTTCCCAGTAAGATGCTACAGGCGATATTACCAAGTGCATCAGTTAAGCGCAGGTATGTGACAGCCCCATATCCCTCTTCCGAAGCATCTGAGAAATGATGCAGCTTGACGGAACTGAGCTCGCCAAAATCTCTCGGTTTCACACAACGTGGTATGGCTACTTCGGTAAGACCAATGATGCCCCTTGTCCAATCTTGCCACTGCAGAAGGTCGTCTTCTTGGACTATGACATCCCAATCAAGCTCGTCTTTGCATAACTTCTGAAGCAGTCGCTTAGCTGGAAGTATAACTGGAGCAGCTAGGCCAAGAGGATCATAAAGAGATGAGGTGACAGAAAGAATCTCTCTCCTTGTGTTGGCTGTAATATTCGGAATGGTCCTAAACCCAAAGGTGTCTTCTTCCGTGTCCCACTGCATACCAAGGGCGCGATCTAACGGTAAATCTTCTAAGTCTAGGTTAAGGTTCTTCACTGACGGTGCTAGGTCTTCCTTAGCGACTGAGGACAAGATTTCTCGACCATTACTGATCCACTTTGTTAAGCGGAAGCCTCCCCTACTCAACAATTCTGGCAGCTGCTCAACTAATCGTACCGCCTCTTCAGTTGTTGCGACTGATTTAACACAGTCATCAACGTAGAAGTTCCTATTAACCGTATCGATGGTATCCACATCGAAGTCCGTTTTGTTGTCTTCTGCGGTTTTCTTTAATGCAAAACTTGCACAGCTAGGAGATGATTTAGCTCCAAAGAGGTGAACAAGCATCTCATGGTCTTCTGCTTCTTTAGAAAGATCGCCACCAGGCCACCACAAAAATGACAGAGCACAAGTGTCTTGAGGACACACTCTCACTTCATGGAACATCTTCTCTATGTCGGCCGTAAGACCTATTTGCTCTTGACGAAAACGAAGTAGTGCTCCCACGAGATTATTGGTTAAATCTGGCCCTTGAAACAGCTGTTCGTTGAGTGACGTATTGCGAAATTTAGCGGCGCAATCGAACACAACTCTGGTCTTCTCAGGTTTCTGCGGGTGAATCACAGGATGGTGGGGAAGATACCAGACAGAACGTGGCACTTGATGTAGAGATACTTTCCTCGCTTGACCTTGTGCAATGTAATCTTCAACAGCATCCTTGTACTTCTCTTGGAGATCTTTGTTCTTTTCCAAACGTCTTTTCAGAAGATTTAGTCTTTTTTCGGCCATAGGTCTGTTATTCGGTAGGCACGGATTATCATACTTCCAAGGAAGGGAGAGCTGATAATGGCCATCGACCATCTGAACGGTTCGTTCCATTATTGCCAGGGCTCTTCTATCTTCAATCGACATCATTTCTTTAGATGACGCAGACGATTCGCCGAACTCCGCGTTGTATATCCGCTCAATTTGTGCTGACAGCGTTTCTTGACCTCCACTTAAGAAACTGACGGTCGCTTCAGGGTTGCTTGAACCGCCAACTGGTCCGATAAGTGTCCAACCAAGTAATGTCCGTGCA